GAGAAAAAAAACCCGGTACCTTGCAACATTTTCGTATCTTGTTGCAACGAAATTAATTTTCTGTTTTAGTGAATATTTACATAAAAATACAAGTTGAAACGCGTTACTTCCTTGTGGAATGTGATGTTAGTGTCTATTTTATATTTGTCTGATCTATTTTTAAACCCAATTACCGCACATTTCGTCATTTTTAGCAAAAATTTTTGAGCTGCTCGCGGTTGAACTTGACCTTGAGCACTGACAGCCCGCTCGCTCGTGTAAGCCCATAGGGCGTCCTACAATTTGCCTCACTTAGCGTGTGCGGGCTAGGTTTCTATGCGTTATTATTCTAAGGGTTATGTAATAATACCGATTAAAGTTTTGTCTCCTACTTTATCAATCATAAAGGATTTGTTTATCTTTTTGACAAAAATTAGCTACATTGGTAATTTGTAGATGTTCTGTCGAGACTAGAGACAAATTGATGTTTTTTTTTTATTTAAAAAATGCTTATTATTTTTAAATTTAGGGACAGCCGAATATCTAATATATGTATATTAATTACTAAGTTGTGTTATGCAGTTGAGTCAAATTTCAAAATATTTGAACGCCTACATGTTATATACTATTGTTATAAGGATACATATTAGAATCGTAGATAAATACTATAACAACAAAGTATACATAACAATGCTAGTAGATATAGATTCAAAACGAAATAAATTCTAAAGATATAACTTGCAACTGACTTCAGTCACGTACGCCTAAAGCTTATTTATAGCGCGAAGTTACTCCCGTTTTAGAACAAAATTACACGTGTTTAACACAACTAATAATTTACGAGACAGCAAAAGTTGCGTTCTGACTATACTTGCCTTTTGTGCTATGAACAAGGTAACCAAATACCCTCACAACGATCCAAGTACACTACAGTACCGGTACGCTATGATGGCCGTTTTGACAGATTACAATGCAGTAGTGAGGTCAAATCTCAATTCATTATCGAAAAAAATATAATCATATGCGAGTTATCAATCTAAAAACTTACAGATGCATGTTTTTAGATTGATAACTAGTATTGCAAGGTGTAACTGATTAAAAATTTTAATAAAACGAAAATAAAATGTTATATATCGTAAATTATATAAAATATATAAAATATATCGTCAATTCGAAACTGCTTTATTTTGCATTAACCTTTGACGCGAGTTTGCCGGAGGAAGAAGCTGTGCTGGACTGCGATTCTATAAGTGACGATCGTATTACATTCCATTTAAAAAAATTCGAATTTCGATAAACAAGTTGTATCCTTAAATTATAAATGCTTACATTTACTTCACGTCACTATAGACAGCAATGTACAGCAATTAGTTCCTTCAACGTAGTTATGAATTAATTCGAAACTTGATGAGCGGACAAACGTCAAAGCCGCCAACATAGCGTGCCTTTACTTTAGTCGAATTTTTTTTTCTTCCGCATCCGCTATACATACTTCGTCGTAATGCCCTGTTTACACAATCCTACTTTTTTGGTTGTATACCTATGTCATTGTGCTTGTAATTCTACTGGATCCTCCTACACTTTAGTCCGAAACACAGCAGAGCTGTTTTACAGTTGAAGAACTCTATCACCAGTAATATGTGTCAGACAACATCGTCGTTGTTTTGTAAAAAGGGTGAAAGCGTCATTTCGAAATTTATTTCGGACGAGCATATTTTGATTTTTCAAGACTGTTATAAAATATTTCCGTCCTGTTTGAAATTGAATTTTAAAACTTAAACTTAATTAAAATCAAATTTGAATTTTAAATCAGGAAACAAAAATTTTAAAGTTTAAACACGAGGATATGTACCAAACAACCACAACAATTGTCTGGTTTCAAACTAGGGAATTCCCTGTGGTATACCAGAGCAACGGAATCGAACCCGGGATCTCCGCGTCCAGCAGCCCCCACAACTTAAGCCACCAAGATCGTCAAAGTAGAGTGGTTTAATGGAGATCTTTATATTAAAGCTTAAAAGGCGAGTGCTCTTTCTACTTGATATTAGTAGAACTAATCACTTGCACGACTGTTTACTCATCTAAACACTCTCATGAATACTAGAATTACGTAAATTAAGCTTTATGCCTTTTGCAAAAACAAAAAGAATCTGCAGGCGAATGCACCTGCGAAAGACTTGGTTGCCACTGTTATGGATAGGCGTGTCGCTTACCACCAGGCGTACGACTAGTTTGTTGCATCACTTGGTATTATAAAAAAAAAACATATTAAAAAACATAATCTCAAAAATTGCGTTATATTATATTTTATCTCAAAAATTGTGTTATATATGTATGGCATTCGTATACGATTCATTTCAAAGTGACTTTGAAGTGAAAGACTTTGAATTTAAGTCACTTTGAAAGTAAAAACGCGATTTTTGAGATAATACTATGTTAGTTGTCATGTGCGGTATGTCCTCTCGAAGAGACGAATTAACGGACTATAAATTTCAATCATTGTAATTTATTTTTCATGTAGTAATAAAATTCTTGGGTAAATTAATATTTTTGTTGATAGGAATTTTGTTTTGAAAAAAAAATTGTGGCATTATTAACATATCGACATTGGAAGGCAATCTTGTGGCATCTCGAGAAATAGTACTTGTAAAGTTCTGTTTATAGCATTTTTTGTGTGTTTTGTCAAATGTCAACGTAATAAAAAAATATCGTCGTGGCATCACGACCCCTAAAACTAAAAATGCAAAATTTTTTCCGATTTCAAATATGTAAAAAAATTTTCTCAAATTTTCGAGATACGACAAGTTTGCTTTCCAGCGTCAATATAACACAATGTTAAACTGCATATAAGACTGGACTTAAAATATTATCGTTCTAAGTCCGAGATTTTTTAGTATACTTAGTTATTTTGTTAAGAAAAGTGGAACCCACTGAAAAATGCGCTTGTGGTGATATTTTTTTCCATTCAATTAATTTTCTCATCATGCAAAAGGTTGCATAAAATAGCACAAGCGCAACTACAAACGCCACCACCAAAAATATACCCGACACGTGTTTCGCTTCTCTACGAGGCATTCTCAAGTTGTTGATTATTCGACACTCGCCCGAAGAAGAGCTCTTGTCGAAAATTGACTGCATGAAAAAGAAATTCAAAACAAGCGCAGGTATTTTGCACGATTTAACCTTTACGGAGATAATTTCAGCAAAGTAACGCCTGAATGTATAAATTTATTTCTTACCTCTTTCGGCCGCCAAGCAGTAATATCAGCATTACCTACTGTGTTCCAGTTTTGTAGGGTTAGGGTGCTGGTGAATTTACATGTACATGGGGCTTGGAAACTTATGTCTCAGGGTGACGGGCGCAGTGGCAGTGTCCCTTAGATCTTAGCGATTTAATGTCACTGGAACTGCTATGGACAGGCGTGTCGCTTACCACCGGGAGCACGACTTATAATCCCGTCATTCCCGTACCTTGGTAACATTAAAATAACATTTTCTCAATATTTTATTTAGCATGCGTCTACTGACATTACTGACATGCGCCCCTAGTTCAGCTAGGTCCAGCCCTGACTGCATACATACATATCGGTCTCCTAGTGGGATAGGCAGAGTCTATGGACCCATACCCACTACGCTCACGGCATATACATAACTACCACCACTGGCATTTCTACTCATAACCGCCTGTTTATTTATTTTACTTATAACCTGGCCGTTCTAAAGAAATCCTCAGTCTCATTGTTACGTAGGCCAAGGTCACCTTTCCCTACGTTTACGCCCACGTTTGCTTTATGAGTTTGTTCCGTTACTCTACTAACATCTATCCTTTCCATATCACCAAACTCACGAAATATTCTCTTTTCAATTCTAGTCACTGTGTCATCTTTCATACCACAACGTTCTCTTATTTATTACACAATACATATAAGCGTTATGTAGCTTTATTTTGCAGATGGCCTTAAAAATATTTCTCGTAAAAAATGCGTGCGGTTAACAAAACATTTTGTAGGAGATTTTCTGTTTATTGTTTAGAATTACATTTCTCTATACCCACCTGTAATAGAAGTCATGGGTTGATGTGGTCAGAAGATCATCTCTTTATTATGTATATTTGCTATTTATAGATAACAATAACGTTAATACAGGCCACGATAAAGCATAAACTTTCCAAATTGTTTGTTAAAAAATTGCACTTTACATAATTTCTATTGAGTTTCAATACGTACACTGCTTAAACAAATGACGTCTTGTAGGTATACGTACGTAGTTACAGTTTAATGTGCGGCTGCGTGTAATTACACCACTTTTTCATAGCAAGGTAAATAACACTCAGGTAATATAAAATTTTCCCATGTTACGAATTCGACGTGGTGTGTTTAAGTAGCTACATATACGCCGTGATATATTTTTATATCAACCAACGTCCGTGGCAATGACCGAGCGTAGTTCACGGCCGTGCGCGTTCAAAAACATTATCCTTCTACGCAATACGCTTTAGTACTGTTTTATAGATTTCTGAGAAAGGAGAATGAATGCATCTTGTAGTCTCGACTTGGCTGTATCCAGTATATCTACCCTGTAGTCGAAAATAAATAAAACGACAGGGGCGCAGGGCAGTACGCACACATACAAAACTACGCACACGCGCGCGATTTGCCGCCGCTGGAGAAGATGGCGCTTCGCTCGCTCAGTCTCGCGCCGACCGCCGCCCGGAGAGGCCGGATGTCTTTATCATGCCAACGGAAAAATAAACTAGTTTTGTTCCGAATTACCCAGTGTTCATTTGCTACAACTTGACGTGTGTGGACATCAGAAAAACTGTGCTGTGCTATTTCAAATTGTGAATGGTAGGAAGCCTTTTTACCGACCGGCATGGTGCAATGTTTACATCTGTAGTTATATCCAGACATGTGTTTCGTTTTTTCTCTCCCCCTTGTAGGGTATTAATATACGGGTAGAACGCGACTTCTGTATGATTCAGAGGGCGGTGGATTAATAAATGTTATTTCTCTTCTTTCCAGATAAAACTGTTTGGGATTGATTTGGGAGTTGTGAAACAAAGGCTATAAAGGTGAACGCACTGCGAGTATCAGGTATGTTTGAACAATATTTTGAACTATACTCCGTCGATTTTGTAATGCTTACGACGTTTTTATCGTTACAGAACCGGGTTGTTACGCGATGAATAGGATTTTGAATTTAGAATGCCTTTGCATGAATAATTGCGTTCATCTGTCACGATGTGTTGCCATTATCCGTTTTTGGGTCGTTGACCTCGTTCGGTACCATTGTAGTCAAGGAGCTAGGTGTATTTTTTCGCTATTCTTGCGTAAGGTATGTAGGCAGTGTAATTAACAATCGCATTGCATATAAAACTATAGTACAAAGAGCCTGTATTATGCCTTATATAATTTGGTAACCTTTTGTTTGACACTTGATACAGCCTTTCAAATCACTAACGAGAATGACTTACTTGTTGCTTCTAAATGTTTGATTCACGAACCTTTTAAGAATCTGTGTACTAAATAAACTCGCGCTTTTAATATCTCCGACGTAAATGTAACTAGCAGCTGATTGTCACAAAATTAATAGAACTTATGTTCTGCATTTCACTGTAAATATGTTATTGCTACAATTATTCTTGGTAATTACGGCCATAGTTTATTTATTAAACGGTTAAATGTTTAAATTCAACCTTTTGTCATTTGCGTTTGGGTTGGAATTGTAATATCGACACAATAATATATACTTAAAACCTGTGATCTGCTGTTGGTAACCTTTTCGCATTCAGTAAAGCCAAAAGCTAATTAAAATAATGTCTAAAGCATACGTATTGCGAGATACAAACTATTAGTAGGTAGGTGCTTACCTACAACTCGAGTAGTAAAATTACAACGGTCTTGTCCGACCTTGCTTGATCGGAATTGATTTTCTTTGTGTTTGATATTGACCTGTAATTCGATAATAATCACATATTTCAATCATACCTAATCACGCTGTAGTATTTATTGTCAGTAATTTATTTAGGTTGAGATGGCGATGTTGAACGTGACAACTGTGGAATATCTACGCTTAACATATTGTTTACCTCTATTTATTCATTTAATTAAAATAAAAACACTTTCCAGTTTGTATCTGTATTTGGAATGAATTTCCGAGACAATCACACTTCGGTACTATGCTTATATTATTGTATAGCTTTTTTTAGTCTCAGGAAGTTTGACCGTGATATAATGCATTATTGTATTCATAGAGATTGTATCTGTTACATACATTATCGTTATAGTTGTGAACCTCTCAGAGTGATTGCCTATTTAGGGACAAATTGAAAAGACCATAGATGGAATTATAGAACCTTTGTAGCATTTGTGTTTTTTACACAAGAATATAATATAGAGCTTCAACATAAAACTTAAAAGTGACTTAAATAACAAAAGAATTTTATGTACATATGTTGCGTTTGTTATTTCTATTGTTAGGATTGTTAAAATAGTTATCTAAAAATTTTTGAATTTTCAAGGAAGAGTTCTCTCATATTAATGTTTTATGTTAATAATAAGTATTTTCATTTTATCCTTTTACTTGTGCTGATTTAATTTTTTTTTGAATTTTCACCTTCAATGAATATTTTCTAGAACTTATATTTTTATGGAAACAATTTTAATATGATACTATAATGGGTGTAAACATTCATAATTGAAATCACGTACATCCCAAAACTCTTGAAGATTTCCATTAAATATTACACGTTTAAAAAAACCTGGATTTGCTGTAATCCCCACGATTGGCAGGCGGATTGGTGATAGCAAAGCTGCAATCTGGTACGCGGAGACGCTGCTGCCTATACAAGATTTATACCAGTCCCTTTTTATGTCACCTACCAGTGATACTATCCTTCTCCTCGCTACCTTTCGTATCTGAGTAAGGCGTAAGGTCTTAATAGGTTTTAACATTCTCCACTAACAGTCGTAGGTCTACCTTTTTTATATTCATTTATTTATTTATTTTTGGCATAGCTACAGAATACAAACTGTGAAGATGCTAAAGTTAACATGCATTATAATAGGAGTAAATTTGTATTCCTATGACAGCCACACACGGCATTTGCGAAATAGATAAAGTACTTACAAATTAACAGGCTATTAAACATAATAAAAAAATAAATTAAAATTTGCACTTAAAAACAATAGCAAAAAATCATGTTACACTTACATAAAAACAATGAGATTCTTAAATATCCATCATATTCAGCTTCTCCTTACAAATATTTAAATAAGTAAGACTATGGGAGAATAAGTCCAAATCTTTAGAAAAGTTGTTATGAGCTCTAAACATGCGAAAAATTAGATAATTATATGAGACATTGTTAGTGGTATATGGCAAAGAAAAAATTATTTGGGTACGTTTACTGCCAATCTTTAACAAGGTGTGGCTTAAGTAAGATCTCACTTGAGTCCATTTCAAAGTTGATAATTTTAAACAGTGTGGAATAGTCCAGTATCACACGTCTGTACTGAAGAGGGAGTGCCTTAAAATATTTGAGCTTTCGTAAGTATCCAATTTCCTACGCATTCCAAACCTGGAGCTCAAGTTCCAAAGAAACCGTCTTTGGACAGCTTCGATTATTTCAATATGACAATTATAAAAGGGTGACCATATAACTGAACAATACTCTAAATTGCTGAGGACCAAGGAAAAAAACAGGGTTATCATAATGTTTGGGTCTTGGAATGATTTTGTCACTCTATTAATAAAACCCAACATTCTATATGCCAAAGCTACAATGTGGTCGTAATGTGTGGAAAAATTAAGTTTAGCGTCAAGCCAAACACCAAGATCATTGACTCTGTCCTGTCGCGTTAGTACCACGCTGTTTATATTGTACTGGTATTCGGTAATAGTCTGTTTTTTGGTGAATGTAATAACGTGACATTTAATAACATTTAAGTACATATTGTTTCTTACACACCATGTGCATATACGATCTAAATCGCACTGCAAAGCGGCACAGTCACTTACCGATTTTATTTCGCAATATACTTTTTAGTCTACAGCGTAGGCTAGACAGGGGCAAGAAATGGAATCCACAAGATCATTTATAAATAATACAAACAAAAGAGGACCCAAATTAGAGATATATATAAATATTACTCATTGATAGAAGAAGGTTGACACAAGCTTCAGCAATACGCTGCTTTGAGAAATTTGCCTAATGTTAGTTACAACAGTGTATCGGGTACTACTTATCGCAACCAGGAGCCACTTGAAATATTGTGTAACCAACAGTATTTTGTTATAATTTTCATACAAACGCGAAAACTGCTCGCCAGGCGTGAAACTCAATTATGACGTACATTTAATTACTTAGCATATTATGTTGTGTGACCTACAAAATTCTATGTAAAATATTTTACGAAATTCTTTTAATTTTATTTTAAATGTTCGTACGAAGTATCACGACACCGTGTCTGTAATTTGCACTGCAACGTTAGAGGTGGAATTCCAAAAATTATATTTTGAATTCTGATTTCTGTTCAGCACGAAATTCAAATGCCTAGTTTCTACTAACGGCTAAAGGCGAAAACACAAATTCTGCGTAGAAATAAGAATTGAGGTTTTTCAAATAGAATACTTATACGCTCTAAGGCCTCTGAATGACGCAGTAAAGCTGATTGGATTTGCTTCTGTAGGATTCAAAGTATTCAAAAGGCGTTTTATTTTTTAAATTGCTTTAGGTTTAGGTAGTAATTAATATTGTATAAAAGTAAGTCCAGTTGTAGAAAAACTTCCCAACACTAAAGTGCAAATCAGATTGTGGGTCCACAATCATTTCGAATCATGCGCATTTAAGATTAGTTTTTGTTTCAATGACATCTGCAAGTTGGAAAAGATCAGCGTGGAAGATTTTGGCTTAAAACATATATACGTGTGAAGTCTACAGCACACTGTAACCAGTCTAGTTTCTTTTATGATACCAAGTGACAAGATCAAAACGTCGTGTGCCTAATGTTAAGCGACACGCCTGTTCATAGCAGTTGTTGTGCCACTCAGAGCATTAAATCGTATAGGTCTGAGGGTAATAAAAATTGCCACAGAAATTAGGCAGTGAACACTAGTCCGAGAATGACTTTTATCTATTCTTGTTTCTATATCGTGTCATGGCGCGATTAAGTACCTTTTTGTAATAGATACGTGCAAAATATATAAATACGGCTTTATAGATTACTATGTAACAATATCACTCATAAAGGGTCACATGTGCTTGCGCATGACATTAAATATGTACCATACGTCATAGTAACGGATGCGGAACTGCATACCTACATTATACTAGTTTGTCTACTTAATTATTAACTCTGTTCACGTGTTAAACGATTGACTATATTAGAGAGAATGCTATAGAAATTGGAAGAAGAAACAAATTGTGCCATTTTGTACGGCCTTTTATTAGACACATTTAAGAAGGCGGGGTAAGGGAAGAGCGTATTAGTTGCCATAAATGTGGCGCCGTACTATTAGCAAAGTTGACGCCTTACCACATTAAGGGTTCTTTTTGTGTGCAGGCAAATGGCGGGCAGTTATCACCCGGAGCTTGCCTGTTCTTCTGAACCAACGTCGTTTAAGAAAGATGATATTTTTGTTATAAACATAACGTTTTCATAAAAACAAACAATGGCGGGGCTATCTGCAATCTACGCTTGCAAACAAAGTGCCACTGCACCCGCCACCCTGAGACATAACTTGACAAGTCCCATCTCCCTGTAATTTCACCAGCGCCCTTACCCTTCAAAACCGAAATGCAGTAATTGCTCACATTAACACATCACATCACAGAAACAGGTAAGGTGGCAGTACTTCAATTGACGAACTCTTTCACAAGGAGCTCTAAAAGCTGCTAAAAAGAATTTCGGCTTCAATTTTGTTGGTGGTACACTTAGGTACAGGAAAGGTCGTAAAGCAGAGACTAGCACTATACAGGTGTAACAGGAACTATAAAATGAAAAATACTCTTAATTAGAAACGAAAGATGTTGGAGATGATTTACTATACATAATAATTAATGTTGTAGACAAAGAATAAAATAACAAATAAC